TTGCTCTCTCTCAATCTTGGCCGCTACACCAACTCGACGTAAAAAATGCTTTCTTGCATGGTCACTTGGAGGAGACTGTCTATATGTATCAACCGCCGGGGTACCGTGATCATTCCCGTCCTCATCATGTTTTCCGATTATTGAAATCTCTATATGGGCTCAAACAAGCTCCGCGGGCTTGGTACCACAGGTTTTCTTCTTACCTTACCAGGCTCGGTTTCTCACACAATACATGTGACCACTCCCTTTTTATTTTTCACAAAGGCCGTGACACAGCATACATTCTCCTCTACGTTGATGACATTATTCTCACCGCCTCATCCGACTCTCTCCAGCAATCCATTATTTCTCAGCTGGCAACTGAATTCTCTATGACGGACCTCGACCCCTTGTCATATTTCTTGGGCATCTCAGTTCGGCGTCATCTCTCCGGCTTATTCCTCTCACAATCCAAATACGCACTTGACATACTACGTCGTGCCGGTATGACAGAATGTAACCCCGTCAGCACCCCCGTTGACACTCATTCCAAACTTGCAGCTTCTGCCGGACCTCCAGTTGCTGACCCCACTCTTTATCGAAGTCTTGCCGGTGCACTACAGTATCTTACATTTACTCGGCCGGAAATTTCCTATGCCGTTCAACAGCTTTGTTTGTTCATGCATGATCCCAGGGAACCTCATTTTCTTGCACTCAAAAGGGTTCTACGATATATTCGTGGTACTGCCCACCTTGGCCTTTCCTTGCGTAAGTCATCCCTCACTGACTTGGTCTCATATACGGATGCCGATTGGGGAGGATGCCCAGACACTCGCCGTTCCACTTTGGGTTATTGTGTATTTTTGGGAGATAATCTCCTATCTTGGTCGTCAAAACGTCAACCCACATTGTCTCGTTCCACTGCCAAAGCCGAGTACCGAGGTGTAGCAAATGTTGTGGCCGAAACATGTTGGCTTCGTAATTTATTAATTGAGTTACGATGCCCTCTTAACAAAGCTACACTTGTTTATTCTGACAATGTTAGTTCGGTATATATGACCGGCAATCCGGTACAACATCAGCGTACCAAACACATTGAAATGGATATACACTTTGTTCGCGAAAAAGTTGCCCGTGGTGAAATTCGAGTTCTTCATATTCCATCCCGCCATCAATTTGCTGACATCTTCACTAAGGGTTTACCTCGCTTATTATTTGATGATTTCCGGTCCAGTCTCAACGTTCGCTCTCCTCCCGTTTTGACTGCGGGGGCGTGTTAGCCAATATTATTTAGTCATTTAATTCATACGTGTACATATGTTGATGTATATCACTTAGCCGAGTTAGTCATGCATATCTTGTATATTGTTAGCACGTTATTAGCCTTACTTTATTCGCATGCAACCACCGATGTATTTGGACTAATTATTTGTAAATACTCTAAGCAGATATAGTTTTGTACCCAGCCTATTAATAGGCTTTTATTGTTAAATTTGATTTAACTATCTATGCGCATGATATAACTTCATTGTGAGTCAACTTTAAAAGGGGCTAGATCGAACAAGAATATCACCGATGGACAAAAATGAGACTACAATGAATTAATAGGGTAATTACACTTGATCCATCGTTATAGTGACTAATGTTATACTAACCACCACCTCCAGTGATTTGACCTCACTGATTCGTTCTGCATAGTGACCGTTGGTGACCTTAGTAATGCCATCACCGGTGACTCATCGGCCATAGTGATCACTGATGGCTAGTTACAGTTACAATCACCACAGTGACCACCGTCCGCCATTGTAACCCTAACCGCATCGTCCTCTTCTATTCTCCCTCTCAAATATGGTCGCTCGCCCATATGCTTGTAGCTGTAACCTAGTTGTTGCCATCCTTGGCACCCGGTTGCTTTCTAGTCATCACCAATTTGAAAAAGGTCGAATCCATGCAAGAAGAAGCTAAGACAACGTCGACTCCCACCCTCATCCGTATCTGGTTGCTTGCTTGTCATCATCGCCGGTTTGAAGAAGTATGAAGCCACGGAAAAAGAAGGCAACTTTGACTAATGTATAGAGGCGGACTTTGAACAAACCTCGTTGCAACAGAGATGGTGCTCGCGCTAGTGTGCGATGGTAGAATGATTGTTTGGAACGAGAAGGTGGAGCCGCGGTCTGAATAAAGAGGCGGAGCAGCGGCCTAGAAGCGAGGTAGAGCGGCGGCTTGGATGATGAGGCAGAGGGACGACTTGGGACGGTGACACGGAGTAGCGGTTGGGGAGAGTGAGGCGAGGCAGAGCGGCTGAAGATGATAGTTACGATTGGGGGTCAGCGAGGTTGAAGACGCACAAATAGATATGGCGGAGGATTAACATATTTTTACATTTTATATTAGAAAAATTTCATATATATTACTCTTTAAAATGTAATGGACATAAATATTACTCCCTCCGTCCCATTTAAACGTTTCCACACGATTTACGACATTTGACTGACCATTAAGTTAACTGATCTCTATCATTAGTAGACTTAATTTTAGTAAATAAAATTTACATATTCTGAAACTACATTAAAACCGCTACAAAGCATGATCAAGAAAATTTAAATTTGATAAAAGTTCGATATATAAAATAAAAGATTAAGAACAATGCACGTTGACCGGAGAACAGTGAACGGGAACCTTTAAATGAGACGGTTGGAGTACTTAGTAACTATTAGTAACTATAATTATGTTCAAAATTTATATCGTAGTGACTAAGTTTAAATTACTGTGATGTAAAGCTTAAGCACAATCAAAATGATTAATAGTTACTAAGTCACCCTTTTGTCCATGCCATTTTTTAATTATATTTAAGGAAAAACTCCTTTATATTAATGGCATTTGATTACTTTAAGTTCAATTTAGGGGGTGTATTGTATTAGGAATTAGTGGCAAAAATTTAAAAGTCCGTGGATTTTTAAAAGTTTAGTTGTATTCAATGTGGACTTTTAAAAGTCTACAAAAGTCTAGGTGTATTCAATGTAGACTTTCAAAAGTCTATAAAAGTCTAGGCATATTCAAAGTTCCGTTCATTCTTATGGATTTCTAAAATCATGGATTCTCGTTGATTTTTAACTCATTTTTAGTACATTAATTCTCTTCGATTGTCTCTTCTCCTCACTAAAGATTTCCGTGGGCTTTTCTTATATCCGTTCTTCATCCCGTCCCCCCACCCCACCCCCTCCAACTCTCCTCTTCTTTAGCCAAGTCATCCCTTTCCCTTCGATCTTTCTTCTTCTTCTTCAGCCCAACTCGCCCCATCCCTCTCCTTCCGTTCTTTTTCTTCTTCAGCTTGCCCCACCCCCCTTGATTCGCTAATCCCATAATGGTTCGATTCTAAAAGTTTCTAGAAGAACTGATATAAGAATCGATAATATATTACATCAGTGCAATTCTGGTACGTCGTCACTTAACCACTGAGAAAATAAATATTTTAACTATTACTTTCTTTCATCGTTAAATCGCTAACATATAAAAATATAATTTCAAATTAATAAATATATAACTGTAAATAAGTACACAAAATTTAACAAGATAGAAATGAAAAGAAAATAATTATCAAGAAGAAAAACTCAATTGCAATTTTGCTTGTACCACATGCAGTAATGAGTGTAACTGTTGTGTAACGATTAATATTCTTACTCATAAATAAAATGACCAAAATTCTTGAGCATTCTTGAAATTTTGAGTTTTTAATAAAAATATATTTGGATTCTTATGCTTCATTTATTCTCGTAGAACTTTGTATTGCTATATGAATTACATTTGTTTCATTTATTCATTTATTTATTTATTTGTTTGTTTGTTTGTTTGTTTGTTTGTTTGTTTGTTTGTTTGTTTGTTTGTTTGTTTGTTTCTTATCATACTCTGTATTATACAGAGGAAATTACTCAGGGTATGTAGGACTAAAATATACGGTGTAACATTCTTCTTAAAGTATGATCATATGTTTGATTTTTCTTAAATAGCACTAAATATTACATATTCACTCCTAATTTAATTAATTAATATAAGTAATTGTCCCTAATTCCCTTGCATAACCAAATCGACTTTGTTGGTGGCGGATCAGTCCGATGACGACAACGGGGAACTCAAGTGATGGAGGCGGACGGGCAGATCGGTAGCGGTGGTCTAGGTGAAAATTTCGACGACCAACAGTGGTGGTCCGCATTTAAAAGTCTATGGATTTTTTGAAAGTCAATAAACTTATCCATAAATTTAAAAGTCTATAGAATTCATTCATAAAAAGTCTATAGATTTAAAAGTCCATTGACTTTTTAAAAAGTTCACGGATTAAAAAAAGTCCACCACAATCCATATTCAATACATCCCCTTAGTCTCTTTTTTATTCAATTTAAACCTAGATCTTTTTTTGTCTATCTAAAAGCAATAGTATCTTTTTCATTATTTCAATTTAATTTAAATATCATAAAATGCCAATCAATTCGGAACTAAGAGAACTTAAAACATCTAGTGGGACTCTTGTTTTTGAGTAATGATCTACCAAAAGCAACGTATTGATACTCTTGTTTTTTTAAAATAAAAGGCAAACTTCATCTTATTCTAAAGGAGTGTAGCGGGGAAAGAGTTACATCCTTTTAGGGCTGGGGGCTCTCGGGGATGGGGTTTCATCTTTTTTTCTAAAGGAGTGTATAATTAGTTGTATACTCAAAACCCGCACGGGTAGCTCAGTTGGTTTAGTGGTGAGAAATTTGGACCAAGTGACTAATGTTCGAAACCCGCAGCGGCCGTGTAGAGGTCACAGAACCTGAAATAAGGTTGGGCCTCTGGTGCGCACGAGAAAAAGGTCTACTATCATTGGGCCGACTGAGTCACCGTGATTAACATCCTCCCAAAAATCTTGTCGGGTCGGGGTATGGGGACTCCTAGAGTGGTAGATTCCACCTTTTGGACCAAGTTGTATACTCAAACACACAGAACGTACTATACAGACCTACAGTTGTATATAAATCACGGACCCATGTCACCTCAGTTATCATTGACACGATCTCTAGCGCCAGTGCTCCTTTCAACTCCAAACTTAAGTGACAACATCTACTTTCAACTCAAAGCTAACTTCAATGGATTCTTCTTCAGATCTGCGAGCACCAAACGTCGCCATGGGAGTTCAGTAAGTTCTTAAAGAACTTATTTAATTATTTGGCGAGTTCAATTGTAATCTTTTTACTTTTTACATAGTACGAAATATTTGATGAATAATATTTTCTTGGAAAAATTCTACATTTACAATTATTAAATAATTCTCTACGAACATGCCCTACAAATGACATGTTAATTTAGTCGGCACATAAAAGAATTAGTAAGAAGCTTACATTTATTTCTTTCATATTTGTATTTTAGCTATATGAAAGAATTAGTAAACTGTAATCATTTTTATGGTTTCATTTTTTCAATTTTCAGGAGAACGGAAGGGAACCCACTTGACCTTAATAACTTACCTGCAGAAGACTACTCTATAGATGGTAAACAACACCTTGACGATACCTCTTCTAATTGTGATGGTATATATATTTTAATTTATCCACCCCATTATACTTTTTTTTCAGTGTTTTTTCACTGCTAGAAATGGCTTTCTTTACCTAAAAAGAAAACAATAATGACAAAAGAAACCAAGAAATATCAAGTTTTTTTAGACGAAGGTTGGTGATACAAATGGTCAAACTTTCCTTTCATTCTGTGAGTTTGCAAGAAAATGTTAACAAATGGGGCATCCTAGAAATTCACATGTGTTTTCAATTTAGTAGCTACATTAATGTTAAGAGAACTAGAAGGGTAGCAAGTGGAAAGCCTATAAATAATTGTTATCTTTGTTACAAGAGAGGACCACTACATGGGGTACCATATCTAAGCTCATTAAGGTTAAATATCAATGGAGTATAATCCTTTTTGAAGGTATATGAATTGAAGGTAGCCAGGCTTGGTGGTCCAACACGTTATTTTTAGTTTTTAATCCAACTTTAACTCTACCTTTTCCAAAAAAAAAAACGTGTTGTATGGAGGCATAATTTTTAAATTTTGGGAAGGTGAAACATTTTTCAACTATAAATCATAATTACTACGTACGGAGTATAACTTTAAAACAAGAGCCTGTTTGGAAGAGCACTTATATTGGTTGAAAAGTTGAATTGATAAATCATGGAAAAATTATATTCCTAATACTTCCTCCGTTCTTAAATAAATGCAACGGTCAACATTTCACACTTGTCGAGACACAACTTTGACCATTAATATAAATGATTTTGTATTAGTAAAAAAATTAAAAAAAATAGATTATGAAAATTTACAATGAGACAAGTTTAACAAAAAAAAATCATAAAATAATATTATTACATTAATAAATAAAACGTAGTCAAAGTAGAAATGTGAATAGTGTAAAAGTCAAAGTGTTGCATTTATTTAAGAACGGAAGTAGTATATTTTATTAATAAAATAAAGAAAAAATTTATATAAAAAATAACTTCAGTCTAAAAATTAACTCATGCCCTAGTTAGTTTGATTATAACATAATTTAGCACGTGAAATTAAAAGTTATGTGTTTGAAAAAAAATGAGTATAAGACTTCTAAACTGAAAATAAGAGTTATCAAATTACACTAAGGGGCCGGGTATTGGATTTGATTCTCGTTTTTTAAAATAAAAATTAAATCAGAATTATTTTTTCATAGTTTCTCTTGACTCCACACTTAGAACTAATTCCGCACACTCAACAAAAAACTTCTAAAAAATACTCCCTCCGTCACGGTCATTTCTTCCAATTTTCCTTTTTGGGCCGTCCCAATTAATTCTTCCAACTTCCATTTTTTGAAAAAATATGTGGTTCACATTCATTCACCATTTTCTTACACAACTGCAACCATACATTTTCACTTTATTTCCACTACCTAAATTTGCGATACCGGTCAAAATTGGAAGAAATGACCGGGAGGGAGGGACTACTCCGCAATTAATTTAACTTGTTTTAGAAATCCTTCAAAATACGAGCACAACATTGAATAAAGGTGTAAAGACTGGTGAGCTAGGATGTGACAACTTTCAGGATATAAAGTGGTAAAAAGATGAGATTTAGGGTTAATGTGTGTGGGTGGGAGAGATGATATTGTGAGCGCCACAGGAATAAAAGCAGTTGTACGGAAATATGGGAATCTTTGATGGAATTGATGAGCTAAAGTTTGTTTGCAGGAGGGTATAGGAAAAAGAAAAGCGGCGGCGGCGGCGGCGTGGATGAGTGCGGGAAGGTGTATGAGTGCAGGTTTTGCTCCCTCAAGTTCTGCAAGTCTCAAGCTCTAGGGGGACATATGAACCGCCACCGCCAAGGTCATTTCCCGGCCTCCTTTTTTTTTTACAATTCATAATAAAATTAATATTTGGAGGATGCAATGATTTCTTGTTTAGGATGAATTACATAGATTAAGGGTATCTTTGGACGGAGAATTTTGGGGGATCTTTTTTATATAGCCCATATAGGCTGAATTTTGAGAGCTCATCATTCTTTTATTTTCAAATACGGAGTATTATATTTTACTAGTACTTGTATTAGAAAGGGTGAATTACATATATTAATATTGTATTAGGAGTACCAAATATTCGATATTTACTTTGTTTCAAATTGTTGTTTGATCTTATTACGTATTTCTAAGAGTTTTCTGATTATAAATGTTTACAAAATATAACTAGTGACAAGAGTACTAATGAAATTATAGTAACTAATTTTCAATTTTTAAACAAATATTAATCATATTTGTATAAATAAGTTTTATTTTGGTAATATTTTTGTAAAAATCCCTAAAATGTAACTACTTCTTGAGAATATTAAATAAAATATTATTAATATTAAAACTATATTAATAATTCCTGTTGGATCGTAAAAGTTGAATTTGAATATTTATTTACTCCATTGCTCCCCACCTTGTTGGAGTTTGTCAAGTTTGACTGAGATTTGGAATGAGAAATTATAGTATTCAAGTTAGTTTTGTCTAGAGTAGAGAAGAGAGTATTAGGAATGGCAAATTAATTTATTTTAAAATCGACGGATAATATTTTTAGTATCAAAACTGAAAGAATCATATATGCAAAGTCTTGTGAGGTAGATGTACTATGAAAATTTGGTATTAAGGGTGAGCATATCGGTAATCGGTTTGACATCGGTTCTTTTTTGTATTCGGTTCGGTTTGTATAAGTTATTTTTAAAAAATTCATTATGATTTTATAAAAAATTCATTATCATAAAAATTGACCCTATATGTATGTTTATTTGACTTTGGATTAGTATGAGAATATGATTTGTTGTTTATACTGTATCTTGATTTGGTGAACAGAGAGGGAAACAGAAACGCTAAACCGAGCTCGGCAGCTTGTTTTCAGTAGTGACACGAACATATTAGCTCAAGGGCCTCATCACATTATGGGGTATATATCTATACTTTCCTTTCTCTCCATACTATAGTGAATCAAGTCATGTTTACAAGTGTCCATATAAATCATAGTGAATTTTACAAATAGAATCATAACTATATTATTACTCCCTATTCCCTTTTAAAGATTCTTACTTTATTTATTCTTTTATTAGAATCAAGTCATGTATTGGGATGAGGTAAGATCAATCATAATGTAAACAAAGCTCTACTCTTATTAGCATCAAGTTCTTAGAGAAATAATACACAATTCGGGTTAAAAATGCTTTAGCATTGAAAAAATGATTGTTCAAGTTGATCGAGTCTTTATCTTCATAAATATGCAATTATTATATTGACATGTTTTTATCGTAACTCCTTTGGATAATGAATATTTTATTCTTCATAATGCGCACTGTTTTAGGTATTGAATAAATGCTACTTGTATATAATAGAAATTGTAAAATGAAATTATAAAATAGAATATTTTTCTACTTTAGATTAATTATTATTGTGCTTGGAAAAATAATATCAACTATGGTTTTAATATTGTTATGTTAATATCCAATAATATCAAAATATGATATAATAATATCATAATAATAGTAAAAACATTATCGATTCCTAATACTAAAAATAAATTAATTTTTTATTCTTAATACTCTCTTTTCTACTATAGACAAAACTATGTTAATCACACTAATTTCTCATTACAAATCTCAGTCAAACTTGACACGTTAAACTCCAACAAGGTGGAAGAGCAATGGAGTAAATATTCAAATTCAACTATGGTTTTAGTATTGTTGTCGTATTAATACCCGATAACACCAAAATATGACATAAGTTCTCAAAATAGGACTAAAACATTTTGAATATTTCAAAACAGGATTGTCATATTTTGTATTCCCAAAATAGGAGTAATTACTGCCAAGTTTAGAAAATACTGCCATGTTTGAAGTTTGGTACTGCCATGACAGTAATTAGTTTTATTTTGGGAATAAAAACATGTCAGTCCTAATTTGAAATTTTCAAATCTTTTTAGTCCTATTTCGGGTAATACTCTCGATAATTTCATGATGGAAAGAAATTTACGTACTTCTGTCTAGTAGAAAAAATATAGGTCCCTAACTTTAGTGTTTCATATTTCTAGCACTAATTTGACTTCTATTTTGGGAAACGTATAATTTTAGTGTGCTATTTAAGCTCTTTATTCTTGTGTTTATAATAGTCATGAATATAAATTGTTGAAGTTTAAGAAATTCTCTAAATATAAGTAAGGGTCATGCTATGGTTCCTTTGGAAACTTGGAAGGTACGGTGCATCTCATTGTGTGAGCAAATGAAATTATGGCACTTGTAAATTTAAAACATCCATTAATGAAATGACGTGGAATGCTATTGGCTGAGCAAAACAAAGGTACGGTACCATCCAAATTTGAAGAGGTACCGTAGTAATCTCGTGTAAGTAAAAACCTTTACGGATTCTAAAATTAGAACACTATTTTTTATTTTATACGGAGTAAATAAGAGTAATGTTGCCAATTACTTATTGCAATATCATATTTAAAGCTAGATAATTTAGAGCTAGATAATACAGTATCAATATATGACGGTAAGCTACTAAGCTGTAAGGATAATAATAACGTACTTCTATTCAATGAAAAAATGAAATACTCCTGATTTGTAAATTTCTAATTCCCTGAAATTTTCAACCCATTTGTTACTCATATTTGTGAACATTTCCCAACTTTTTCAATCTTTACAAATACTAGATGCATGTGAATGACAAACATGAAATAATGACGGCCGCAGGTATCAAACAAGCAACATGGGCATGTACCCGACAAGGATGTTTCCCGGAACCTCCACCGCCGCTGCAGCCATACCACCACCGCCTCCTCCCGGACAGCGGCCGCATCAACAATTTATGTACGCTTCCTCTCCACAGTATCCAGTGAATGACTATTTAGTCGGCCCCATCCTCTCCACCACCCAATCCAACCCTAATAACTACACCGCCGCCGTGCCTAACCTAGAAAGCAGCTACACCTGCATCGGCGCTCCGGTGAAGCATGGGGCGTTACCCGGCGGCGGAATAGGCAGCTTGGGAGCTGTCCCCACCAGCGGCGGTGGTGGTAGAGACATGCAGCCGCTCTACACTAATGCTCCGCCGATCAGTCGGTTTCAAGACGGGTTCTAGCTTAGTCTACGTATGTAGGTCAGGTCTTGTAGCTTCTAGCTGGCTTATTAGTGAGTTTTAATTTGGTTTTTTGTTTTTAAATGGAAAATGAAAAAAGGAAGAAAATGTGACTGAAACACTAATCTGATCGGAAAAAGAGAGAATCCCAGAAAAAGAAAAAGTTGATTAAACTTATTTATGGATTGGATTATTGGAATCTGTGTATTTTGTAATGTTTTTGTACAACAAAAGAACTGTTGTTAGTCACTGTTGTTGGGCTATGTCTTGTCTGGGATAACGTAACAACGTACGGAGTAGTAATTGGATTTCAACTGAATGTCACTCACCAGACATTCCTTTTATTTATTTCTACTTACATTTGCTTTTTGCTTTGTCAAATTTTACCATATACTCTCAAGATCACTATGGTATATCATCGGGGTAGATAAATTGGATTAATATTGTAATGAAAAAATTTAAAGAAATGACCGATCAAATGAATGGAGATACAATGGCCTCATATTCTATAGATATACTCCCTCTGTTTCTGAAACAAGTTCCACCTTTCCTTTTCGGGTAGATTCAAAATTAAGTTCCACTTTCAAACATTTCCTTATTTGGCAAATTATCTACATCAAAACAGTGTCAAACAGTGTGCAAACAGTGCCAAACAGTGCACTCCACAGTAAAGTCAAATTTATTTTCTTAATATGTGTGAAGTCAAATGTGGAACTTGTTTCAGAAACGGAGGGAGTATATAGATAGTGGGGTGTTTTGGGTGTTTGTCAAATGGTAGTTTGCTTTAATTGTTAGCCGATTATGTTGGTCGATTTATGACAGAGATTTTGTTGATTGTTCTGATTAGCTGATAGGATTAGCATATTGATAAATGTTGTTTGGTAAGATAACTATTTACAATCGGTTGATAACTTGTTAAATAACTTTTATGGACATTAATTAATTTTTTTGGTAATGTTATTTTATTAGTACAATTACTTAGGATATTTTTAAGTTTTGATTTTAAAAAATAAAAATTTATGAACACAAATAATAATTATTTTAACATTTTACATGTTGTTGGGATATTGATCAGAAGGCCCAATTCCCGGATCAAGAAGGCCCAAGATACCCGGTCCAAACAACGGACCCATCACTCTATGATGAGTAGATCCAGTGAAGAATTCATGCCGAACGAGATTCGGCCCAAGTAAGGGTTGGCCCAGTAAGAAGATATATACCGAACGGAGTTCGGACTATATATCATACTTGGACCAATTTGACAGCGTCTTCAGCATGGTCCAACATCCCGTTCGAGCAACGGACAACCAGCAAGTGGACAGGTGCAATTAATGCCAGATTGTGACATCAGCAAGTGGAAACATGAGTGACCAAGTCGATGGAACAACAGCCAATCAGCATAGGGAGGCCCATGCTCTCCATTAGTATAAATAGAAGGTTCAAAATCATTGTAAGGGTTACCATTTCAATACACAGGCTCTAGAATAGCATTATTGCTCTTATTTCTTGTATTAAAGCATTGTTTCCGACCTACTGATCAGGAATTTCCTTGTAATCAGACTGGTTAATTAATACAAGTGAGCTTTCGAGTATTAGTGAGTTCATATTTTATATTTTGGTTATACACTTTGATTCTGTACCATTCCTGATATATCCAAAGTTCGTGTTGGGCTTTCGGATCTACGGGATTTACCTTCAACATTGGCGCCATCTGTGGGAAACTGTTCAAAAAGTTTCACATTCAAATCATCCTAAAAACCACTATTTTCGAAAATGGTCAGAATCAGTTCCTATCACACAAACGACGGTTCACGCCGTCACGGAAGGAGTCACACCCGGGGAATCAAACCCCTCAGGGACAATCCAGCCGAGGATCGTATCCCCGTTTTGATGGGGATTTTGTGATTCCTGAATCTCTAAGAAGAAATCCTCAGGCCATGCGAGATATGGCCCAGGTCATGCAGCATATGGCAAACGAGGAGGAAGGAGGGTCCAACTTTACAGGGGAGACTCCACGCACGGAAACAACCACAACGTCATCCCGTTCGCATGCCCATCGGGATAATCGCCGTAGCGCCCCACCAACGGCGCATCATAGTCCCAGTGACCGAACCCCGATCGGATCACAAGCCAGGGGACCACCTCCTATTGGTCATCATTTCCAGTATGCCGAACGGGATAATACCAGGGCCGCTCAACGCCATTGGGACCGGGAGTATACGGAGGAGAAAATGGCTGAGATGAGGAGGCAGATGAACGAGATGCGAGATCAGATGAATAGGGCGCCTGTACAACCTGCCCAGGTTCAGCTCGGAATTACTTCCCCTTTCACCAGGGAAATCATGTATGCGGACATTCAAGGAGGTGCCAAACCACCGACCGGCCAAATCGATGACGGGGTGGGAGATCCCCATGTGCATTTGAGGAGTTACCAATGGGGACTCATGCTACTAGGAGCACCTGAGGCTGCTATTTGTCGGTTGTTTTTTAGTACGCTCGAGGGCCCGCCCAGGAGTGGTTCGGGACACTGCAACCCGGGTCGATCAACAGTTTCGCCGAATTATCGACGTTATTCTTTGCCTAATTTGCTTCCAGTGCCAATCCGATACGGCATTTCAGCTACCTGACCAGCGTGAAACAAAACTCCAAGGAGTCCCTCAATCAATTCTTAAAAAGATGGGGGGACCAATAGTACTGTCCTCACAAACCACCACGAGCCTTTACCGCGCACTTTGTCCTCACTCATGCGCGCCCTGCGAAACTTCCCAGGGGGTCACCCATCCCAAGACTACTCTCGTGCAAGCACGCTTAACTTTGGAGTTCTTGGGTGATGAGCTCCCTTAAAAGGAGATGCACCTCTGTTGGTATGAGTAGTACTATTAATCCTCTTAAATTAATCTCGGGTATTACAATCACCCCCACTTAGGATCGCAACGTCCTCGTTGCGCCCTTAAATCAATCTCAATAAAACCCCAGAATCTTGCCCCGCTAAGTGCCCGCCCGATATCTAACGGGTCAGCACACTGTCGCAGGGTTGCTCTGATACCAATTTGTAACACCCCCATTTTTCCCGCCCAAAATAATACTTGAAATAATAATATATTGATAACAACCTTGATTTATTCCTTAAAAATAGATAGAGTTTTGCAGCGGAAATAACAATAATGGAAAAAGGGTGTGTTACCGCCACACCCAGCCCTCAACTTGGCTGGATGTTAAGGCTATCCACCATGAGTTCAACCGAATTAAAAACTTAAATTCAAAATTTAACAACATTATTTAAACTAAGTGAAGACTACACTAATTTCTTCTAAAACGCTCTCCAGGTTCATCAAACATCATGAGCTTCGTATTCATCATTACCTGCACAAATAAAGTGCAGAAAACGAAACAAAGAAAAGGAAACAAAAATTAGCTTTAGAGCTAAGTAAGTACTACCCAACCCCGTAAAATAATCATGTTTGGCGAAAATAGATTTTTCATATAATACTATATAAAAATACTCACACCACCGAAATTCTTTTCTAATCAAAAACATCATTTATCAACTTTATAATCTCAAATACCCGTATAATTAAAAATAATATTTATAAGCTCCCAACAATTAATTAATATCTCAAAAGAAGTATCACTTTTCAAAAATAACTTTTGTAGCTAAAAGTATCACCATTCTGAAATCAATGTCACTTTCAGATTCTTTTAAGATGGGCGAAACTCAAGATTCCTCGAGCCCAATGAATCGTTGTTGTGTACGACTCATCCCGGAATTCCGGCTCCCACCGACCACCAATTGGAAACTGAACTTCACCCTTAAGTGTGCACACCCCCTAAAAGGGATTCCAAGCCCTCCGAGTAGTAAGAAGTCCAAGTAGTTCGGACAACGTCCCCCTACCTCACAATGGGTTAGATACCCGGGTAATTAGAAACTACTACCGCGGCCACCAAAGAACTTTTAAAGTTCTCAAAAGAAATACCGGGAATCTCCCGCCACCAATATTTACCAGGATTTCTCCCGCCACCAATAATCATTATGAACCTAAACTAAACCCGCGGTATATAGCTCTAACCACCCACACCTTGTGTTTCTCTCGAGATGTCAATAATCATTATAAAAACATTATTCATTCTTGGAAAAATTATTTCTCTATACATAGTCTTCCAAAATATCCATTTAATGGATACGTCCACCAAAAATTCACATTCATAAATATTCAAAAATTGTATTACATGAAAATTCACTCCAAAGTCATACTAGGGATTAAATCCCGAAATATATCTCCAATATTTCACAAATTCTTAGTCATCCAAAATAGTACACATTTAAAATTTACACTTAATCACATAATGCATAGTAAGCATATAATACGAGGAAACAATTTTGGATTGGCAGAGAAACTTACCTTAAGTCCTGATGCTCCTAGTTATCCTCCTCTAATCCGGTCTCTAGATAATCACCTTTTTAATTAAGATGATAAAATTAGTCACTTATTCTATTTGTAATTACTTTCCCCGATTTTCTCCTTTTATTTTATTATTCGAATTTATTAACTTAATTCATTAGTTATCCGAATTATTTGATTACTCACTTTCTATTAATAAAATTTCCTTATTAATTTCATCCATTAATTTTCAATATTTGAAATAAAATATCCGAATATAATTAACTACTACATCCAATTTTTATTCAATAATCACCATTAATTTTCTCTAATTATTATCTAATTACTTTATTTACATAACCGAAAATATTTATTTTCCTTATTTTATTCAAACATTATTTTTAGTCCAGAATATTATTTTTCAACCTCAGTGATTTATTTATTTCACCATTAATACTAATATTTCCTTATTTAATTACTTAACTAGTTTTATATGGCCTAATTTAAATAAATAGACTAAGAATCGACTTTATAAATTAGTAACCGTCCATAAATATATTTTGGGCCCCGAAGTTAAGCCCGTTAACAAACCTGCGGGTCATACTGGCCTCGGTTGACACTAGATCCTTGACAAAACGTGCCAGTTGAACGAATTTCGTGTGGTACTCCTGAACAGTCAGGTCACCTTGTTTAAAGTTGACAAATTCTTCATAATTTGCTTCCTTCACGTGATCTGGGTAGAAGCGATCCCTCAACGCTACTATGAAGTCCTCCCAATCGAAGCCCGGTTGCCCGAGAAGTGCTGGTCCGTTGGCGGCCCACCAGTGGTCCGCTTCTTGGTGCAGATAATACACCGCAATATTCACCCGTTGCTCCGACGGGCAATTCAGTGAATCAAAGAGCTTGTCGAAAGTGCGGATCCAATCTTCCAAGATAAGGTGGTCCTCCTCGCC